AACTAATAGGCTTTTAGTTAAATAGGATCACTGCTTTAACGTCTTTACTAACAAGTTACTGTAGGTGTCTAATGCAGCTATACAAATCATGCATTAAGTTATGGAATACCATGATGGAATTGATTGAAAATTGATTTGACTGTGACAAAAAAAACTTCTTACAACAACTTAGTGTACAGGATCCGTACCCACCCTGCAGCATAGAAAGAAGTCTATGTCTTTGCATAGAGAAGGTCCTGGCAGAGATAGACAAAGTAGTTGCACAGAGACGACAGCCCTCCATAGCAGACAGACCCAACATGCCCTACACTGATGCTGTAATCCATTAAGTCCTAAGGATGGGGAACATTGTACCCTTGAACCTACCCAGGATCGCTTCTACTGACATAACCATAGGAGGGTATATTTTCTTGTGTCACAAACATTTTGACATGTATCTGAAAATTTGTATTAATAATAATAATTGCTTACACTTATATAGTGCTTTTTTGGACACTCCACTCAAAGTGCTTTACAGGTAATGGGGACTCCCCTCCACCACCACCATCAATGTGCAGCATCCACCTGGATGATGCAACGGCAGCCATAGTGTGCCAGAACACTCACCACACATCAGCTATCGGTGGGGAGGAGAGAAGCGTAATTAAGCCCATTCTTAGATGGGGATTATTAGGAGGCCATGATTGGTAAGGGCCAATGGGAAATTTGTCCAGGATGCCGGGATTACACCTCTACTCTTTTCGGGAAACGCCCTGGGAATTTTAATGACCACAGATGGCCTCGGTTTTATGGCTCATCAGAAGGACGGTGCCTGTTTACAGTATAGTATCCCCGTCACTATACTGGGGCATTAGAACCCCCACAGACCACAGGGTGAGCGCCCCCTGCTGGCCCCACTAACACCTCCTCCAGCAGCAACCTTAGTTTTTCCCAGGAGGTCTACCATCCAGGTACTGACCAGGCTCACACCTGCTTAGCTTCAGTGAGTTGCCAGTTGTGAGTTTCAGAGTGATATGGCTGCTGACATTGGATTGTATTGTATTTAGAAATGTCTCAGCCTACTTTCCAAATGAGTACAGGGGATTAATCCTTCCAGGTGTAATAGACCACATCACCTCCACCTCCAGTGCCCTTGCCCCCATTCTCCATGGGCCTTTTTGGCCTGAAAAGGGACAGACCTATTTAGAAATGTATGAGTCCAGTATCTTAGGTATGTATGCTCACTAAAGTAAACACAAAGTCAACAGTGGTAAAAGTTAATATTTTATGTTTTCTCCGATCCTGTAAGGAACAACTGTGACCAAACATAACCTCAGTGCTGTTTGACAGAAGGGAGAGGGCAACACCAGATACATTCAATCTAGGACACTTTCTAAAATATGGGAAGTTTATAAGAAGAGCTGCATTCATGCCATTCTCAGCTGGTATTTATTTGATTTTAATGTGAATATCTATGTATTTCATGAAGTGTTGTGAAATAATTTGTGTACATATCTGAAAGGCAGAATTAGGCACAGTGGTAAGCATGGTTTTGTCGGAGTACTGGGTCATTGGGTTCAATTTCTGGGATCCTATCAGTGTAGAGTTTGTATGTTTTCTGTGTTCACGTGGGTTTCTGCCCACAATGTAAAGACCTACAGTTAGGAAGGTTAATTGGCTTCTGGGCAAAATTGGCCCTGGTGTGATTGTGTGTGTAT